CCACGGTGGGTGTAGGAAAAACTCGTTGCATTACCTAACGCCGGCGCGGCTTGGCATCTGTCGCCATCACGATGCAGCACGAATATGACTGTGAATTGACGAAGACGTTGCACAATTAGCAATGCGCAATGTAGTCGAGTAGGGCGCATGAGCGGTGATCAAGTACGTGTCAGGTGCACCTTCTGATGTGACGATGCGCGCCCTTGAAGAGTGCGGGGAGTCGCGCCGGTCTATGGGCAGTCCGAGGAGATGCTCGAATATTCGTCCCCAGAGTCGCACTCTGCAGGCGATCACAACGCCATGTTGCGGGGAACAGGGCATCAGATGTGCGTCAGCGAATGATGGCTAGCGGGCGGACAGTGTGCCGTTGCGATGGACGAGCACCCCCAGGGTTTCCGGGTGGATACCCTCTGGTACAATGTGCGTGCTGGAGTGAATGGCCGTCGGCGAGTCACATATGTTGGCCGCATAGTCAAGCCACCACGGTGCTTGTTGGCGGCGGCCAAAGCACGAGCTGGAATTCGGAATGCGTTCGGCCTGGTGATGAATCGGCGGTCAGCAGTACAGCGAGCGCTTAGTGATGCAGAGTGATGGGTAATCAATCCGTTGCATACACCGGTATAGGGCGCGACAGTCACGACGCTCTCGTACCAGCTCAGCTGAGAAGGTTTCCCAGGTGTTGACGTCTTTTTAGTTGGCAGGCACGACAGCTACTGGGCGATCGCGAGAGCGGCAGGCCGTGCGTTCCTTCCTCCTGACCCAAAAATTCCATGGAAGGCGCAGGGGTGGGCTTGCCAAAACCCGTTAGCGGGGCGTGCGCAATCCCTGCATCTGGTATAACCGATGAAATCATGCGAAATCGAGTTTCTCTCATGTAAAACTTCCCTCAGAATGCGTCTACGCCTTTAAATAAGACCACGCCCTACCCCGAGCTACCCCTTTGGTTACTTTGACAGCTAGAACATGTTCCTGCCACAGACTCTCTATAATCACCTCCATTCCCACAAGGTCAACTCTTGAACGCCGCCGCATTCAACAGTTGCTGCACCTGCATATCGGATCTCGGCCCACGCCCTCACTCCATTGGACAGCTCCTTATCTCGCAGGTTCACAGCTGCCAACATCCACTCACGTCACTCAATCTCAGCCCTACCCCGGATTCTTTATCAGACATGCCCGGTCGCCTGTTGAGCACCCTCGCGAGGGTGGCTCCCACGCCATTGCCTAAACTGGACCACGTCAAACCGCACGCCGAGGGCCTGCTTCCGCCCGTCTACTCCTACGACGCACCCCGCGTAAAAGCAAAGTCAAAGTCGGAAGAGTCGCTCGTCATGGACATCTTCAACCGCCACAAGCATGACAAGCATGCGAAGGAAAAAGAGGAAGTCAAGAAGAGCCCCAAGGTCGAGGCTCAGGGCGCGGCTTCCATGAACATGAGCGTTGAGTCGCCGCCCATTGTCTTCTACAACAGCCCCCAGTCTTCGACCGGCGCTATTTTCTCGGGTCAGCTCGTCATCAACGTTCATGACCCCTACGTCACCGTGGAAAAATTCGAGATGCGCATGCTCGCCATCGTTTCCACTAAGAAGCCTGTCGCCCCACACTGCCCCGATTGCAGCACGCAAACCACCGAAATCCACAAGTGGGAGTTCCTGACGCATCCTACTTCGCTGCGTCATGGCCCACACACGTTCCCCTTCAGCCACTTGCTGCCGGGACACTTGCCTGCGACTACACATGGTAGCCTCGCCACAGTCGATTACTACCTTTCCGCTGTTGCTACTACCTCATCGGGTAAGATTACCTACAAGCGCAATCTCGACATCAAGCGCGCCATCTTTCCCGGAGCCGAGAAGCACTCTATTCGCATTTTCCCTCCCACCAATCTTACCGCTTCGGTGAAGCTACCACCGGTCATCCACCCGATTGGTGACTTCCCCATTGAGATGCGCCTATCGGGTATTGTGCAGAACAAAGGAGATTCACAAACACGATGGAGGCTCCGCAAGCTCAACTGGCGCATTGAGGAGACGCAGAAGTTCATTGCTCCAGCCTGTGCCAAGCATATTTCCAAGGTCGGGGGTGAGGGCAAGGGCGTCCTTCACGAGGATGTTCGCGCCATCGCCAGCGAGGAGGTCAAGACTGGCTGGAAGACCGACTTTGAGAAGGGCGAGATTGACGTTGAGTTCCAGGCCGCCTGCAACGTCGGCCTCAAGCCTCTTTGTGACATGGAGAGCCCAAGCGGCATGAGCGTCAAGCACAACCTGATCATCGAGATGGTCGTCGCCGAAGAATGGGCGCCCCTCAAAAAGCTCAACCAAGCCACTCCTACTGGCGCCGCTCGCGTTCTCCGCACTCAATTCCACCTCGTGCTCACTGAGCGCTCTGGTATGGGTATTGCTTGGGATGAGGAGCAACCTCCTCTCTACGAAGACGTGCCTATCAGCCCCCCGACTTACGTCGACGACTGCGAGTTTCCTTTCTCCAACAGCAGCTCCCGCTCCGGCAGCTTCAGCCTTGAGCAATAGCTACCAGCTTTCTATTTCCTTTCTTCGCTTATACCCCATTTTACGATGAGATCATCGACGCTTCACGAATCTCCTTACTGTGCCATTGGTCTATTTTCGCTTGGAACTATCACTAGTGGACTGTAGGATATACCCGGCGTCGCGTTTACATGCTCGCCACTCTTATTGGAATTTTTTACGGCGTTCGGCTCATTGCTGGTGTATTTGGGTTGAGCTCAGTGTGAGCCGCTCTTGCATCGCATGGACATCCAGCAGGCGTTTTTCATTGGCACAAAGAAAAGTTCAACTCATACATCACATTTCGCGACTAGCATAATAGCAAGTAATACATAGTACAAGCAGAATCAACTTCTACGCTCTGACATATTCTGTTCCCATGCTTTCTTAGAGTATATTGCAGACCACTGACTACGTTCCCTTCTAGGCGCATGGACAAAGCGGTATACATAAGCCACTGAGGCCTCCCAAGAACTGTTTGCGGCGTACACGTCTTTACACATACTAACAGTATCACCGGACCCTACCCATCAGTCAGATCAATTCACACCGCTTCGTCGTACTCTCACATCGGTTGCGCCTTCCTAGAAGGGATCTCACGATACTCGCCCCTTACAACTCGTACCACAAAGCCACGAGATGAAAATCCTGCAACCACGTTCCACACTAGCCAGTATTCTAGAACACACTCCCCACATCCCTGATACATGCACCATGGTACCACCAGCACAACTCGCATCGGCACTTCGGTACCATACGCCAGTGACACATAACATGCACTTGAGCGGGTACATTACCTGCTCGCCCTGACACCTTCCACCCTGGCCCCTGTCGGGGATCACTCGCATGGTCGGGCTTCTCTGCCGAACCGGTACTTTTCAGGCTGCCGGCCTAGAATAATTGGCATGCCAGGGCCCGGACGTGCGCGACAAGATGGGAATTTGATTTCCTCCATGTTTTGGTGATGCGATATGTCTGGATGGTATTTCCTATTTAGGTTATCCACTTTTGACCGAGGTCGTCAGCCCAGACCAGAACCTTCATCTGCATGCCTGCGCATATGTCACTGAAAAGCTTCAGGATCGCGGCTCTTCTTCCACTTTTCGCCTCTGCCGTTCAGGGTCACGTACGGGATAGGCGTGTGAAGACGTCGGTTCATGGATGCTGTTGCCGAGGTTTATGTGGGGTGCGGCTACATGACGTACATCACATACTTTGTTCCAAGCCATCACCACCCTGAAAGTATATCCCCGACGAACGGTGTGCACCTTGAGTTTCTAGAGATCACAAAGTGTACATTCCTTTGGAATTGCAGCATCAATCTTACCATCGCTAGCCGTATCTCTTGACGCACATGCCCTAGGGTATTCACAGCAACTCCTACGGTTGCACAATCGTTTTTTGGCATCTAGTCGTGACAGTCGCTACTTCATTGGATCAATATGGAACTGCTCCGAGGATGAGCTGGCGTCAGGTGGAAAAGACCAGAAGTGTCCCGGCACTTGGCTATATAGGGAAGCTGCAAAGAAAGCATGCCGACTCGCTCCCACACAACAGGATTGGAACGTGGTACCTTTCGCAACGTCAAAAACCGTGCCGTGCTACATTCAGGTGTACAAGGTCAGCGTATGTCTTATATGCAGGTCGCACGGATACACTTACCCATGTTGAACGTCAAGAAATTTTCCCAAAAAAATCAAAACACTTATGAACTCGCCGGAGCCGTGCTTGGCAGACCACTCCTGCTGGGTTATGCGAATCGACATACTGGTGAAAGCGAGACGACCGCCTATCCTCCACCAGTCTGTGGCTTTGTCAAAACGGTCAGACATGTACTGCTCGCGACCAATCCTCCCAACCAGTCTGCCCCACGACCACTTTCGTTCTCCTTGCTTGACCGGTTGGAACTTGTTCAGAAGATGCGGATTCTTTATTTCCATCGTGGAAAACGTCCCGTGGGCCACACGAACCGCTGAGCTTCGGTCCAACAGCCGTACTACCTCTGAACGCCCGGGTTGTGAGAGATAGATATTCGCTCCCCATACGATACTTGGGCTTGTGGTGTTGATGAGATCGCTCACATAAGCGCAATACTCGGTGTTGGGAGGCAATCGCCAACTGACTGTACCGCCCCAGCCAGCCCTGCAAAGATACAAATACCAAGTCAGTCTCTGTCCTACATGAAACTCGCAAAGTCACTTTCTTACCAAGTCCACGACGGTAGATGGGTACGTCGTGCACATGCCTCTGAGATAAACATGGCCTGATGCGAGCCCGCACGGTGAAACCACGACGATATGGCCAAGGCGAAAGTGATCTGGGCGGGGGCAGCGGTTCCAGCAATGTCACCCGACCACAACGGGATTCCATTGAACATATGCAGCGATGTGGTTCGTTCGTACATCCCAATAACACCCTGGACTAGAAACGGCACAAAATTTAGTATTGCTAACACCGGCAGTTCTCAAAGGCGGACTACTTACAGGCTGGTAGAGTATCTGTATCCTGTGTCAAGTTTCGTTTTGTGAATTCACGCATGTGTTCGCACAGTCCTCGCAATTGGGCTCCAACAGTTATCTCCTCGACGACAGGAAAGCCATAGTCAATCCGATACTCGTCGTCATTAGCAATGACCAAGTTTCTTTGATGCGCATTACTGCCTCCGCTGAACGCACCGCCTTTGAATATGCCGCTCAACATGAAGTCTACCAAAATGGTGTTGGTGTCGTTCTCATGACTTACGGGTTGGTGGAATAGCGTTACATCTGCGCTTTCATGCGAAGCCATGCAGCGACATTCCCAGTAAGTCTGGTGTTCTGTGAAGACGATACGGCGATTGGAGAGCACTCCTTCTTGGTATGTCCAGCCGCGGGTCCAATGGTGCGATTGAAGTATCTCTCGCCGCGGGTCGGGGAGTATGGAAAGAAGCAGGCTTCCGCTGTCGATGTAGTACTTTGGCTGAGGTTTGCGAGGTGTCTTTCCTACTCCAGGAAGGCCATGGCTAGCACCACTTCCTGCAGCTGCTACGATGGTGAACTCGGCTGCTTCGTATATGGTAGTCATTCTTGAAATCAGGTAGTCTTTTTCTTCTGAATCCGCCTGGTTTATGCAGCTCCGGTCCACCCAGAGATAGGTAAAGTCGAGTTTGCGTGTGACCTCGACTGCATCCATGACCGTCGCCGGCCAGTCTCCCCGATCGGCGGGAGTAGATCCCCAAACATAACTCAAAGCAGCGTACGGAGTCCCCCAGGGCTTGTCCTCAACCTCGGGAGGATCTTTAGTACAGTCGATAAGACGAAAGCCTCTGGTTATCGGTTCTTCTGATGCGCGTTGCTTGCAAGCGGCACCGTGGCCACTGCGACAGAAATCGAGCCAAGCTCGTATTCGCTCAAGATCAAATGAATCCATGAGTTCTCTTGCTCCCAGCAGACTCCGATTGATGCCGTCGCTGGGCTCGGCTGCCGACTTGCAGAATATGGCTCCCACAGCCGGAATTTCGTAGTCTAGCCATGTGGCATCGTGTCCAGTTGGTGGGACCCACTCAATATCTGGAACGACTGCCATGAACACTGTATCGTGGCGCTCTTCGAGCCAGTCTGGGTCTTTGAGCGCGGTCCTCACCCGGTCCGCATTGAAAAGCCAAGCATCGGTGCTACGGAACGCGAGTAGTTTGTGACGTGCGTGTACATCTGGCTGAACTCTGACGGATCGAAAGAAGTCGCACAGGGAACACTTTGAGGGCTTGGACAGCCGAGTGCCAAACTGATGCACTAAGACGGCATCATCGTAGAAGTGCTTGAATCCATCGCAAGCTTTGTAGATCTTAGACAACTTGTCCGGGTCGTGTGTTCTGAGATTGTAGTATTTGTAAGCCGATTCGAAACCCTTTTCGATGTCAAGCATTTGACATGCCGTGCACAGTGGTGATGTTGGATCAATGGCTGGTTTCAGTCGCTTCCTTGCTTCAATTCCGTCTTCTGGGCTGTCTTCTTGTCTTCTCTTGCCTGCCTTTCTCGAAGATAGGGCGCTCATATTGCCTTGGAAGGAGAAGTATTAGGTGGTATAGGCGCGTCGGTTGTTTTCTGTAAGATACGCGATGATACCTATGTAAGCCTGTCTTTTGTTAATGATTGCTAAGATGCATTCTGTCACAGGTGTAATATGTTATTTCGCAATATCGGAATCGTTCCATTTGGAACGTGATGGAATGCATGCTCGTATTGATACACACAGCTGAGTGCAGATCGGCGTTCAACACAGCCTCCTCGTTGCCTGAAACCACCTGGGCAGCGTTAGCGCCGCCACGAGCGCGTCCACCCAAACTGAGCGAATGGCAACTACGCCCAGTTTTTTCGCCAGATTATCGTTATCGCGCACTATTCCCACATCAGGAGGTTCTGCGAACTGAGGCTGACCATTTCCTATGCAGCGAGCAATTCGTTGTCAGGCGCGAACGCAACTGCGGGTATGGAACGACAAATTCCCACAGCCTGGCCTCGCTTTGGATCTAGAGCGGCACGCTTTGCTTCCGCTTCATGCAGTCGCTTACTTCGTGCCCACTTTGACGACCAGCTTTCCCTTTGCTCTCCCTGTTCTGAGCTTCTCATAAGCTTCGGGTACATGTGCGAAAGCAAACACCTCATCCACAACAGGGTTCACTTTTCCATCTGCAACAAGCTTTCCCAACTTCGTGAAGTCTTCGAAATTCGTAGATGCAAGTCCGAAAGAGAATGGCCGTTGCCCTCCTCCAAGCCACGTCGGTACAAGGAAGCGGAACGCGAGATCATAGATAAAGGGTAGGCTCACTTGAGATCCGATCTGGACGTACTTCGCTGCAGGCTTGGTGAAGGAGGGTGATTTCCAGTATAGCTCAAACTGGTGTCCAATGTTGTCGAGGACCATGTCATAGTGTTTTGAGCTATTTGCCAGAATGGTAGGTACATCGTTCTGGCGATAGTCGATGACTTCGTCGGCCCCAAGATCCTTGCAAAGCTGAGCATTTGCGCCTGTAAGGGATCAGAAAATGCGTTATTGTCGCGACTGCTGGACTGCGAGAAGCTTACCAGAGCATGTCGTTATGACATAGCATCCTAGGGCTTTTGCGATCTGAATGGCAAAAGTACCCGTACCACCTGAACCACCGTTGATTAGTACTCTGTCACCGGCTTTTACATTCGGTGCGAGGCACTGATATGTAACAAGACCGCAGACTCCCAGCGTTGCTGCTTGCTCCGCCGAGACACCATCGGGTATAGGCACCGTTCCAGCTTTTGAACCGATGATGTATTCGCCCAACGTGCCAAACTGTTGCTTCGGCTCGAGCTTGCCAAAAACCATTTGCCCGACCGTCAGGTCGCAATCCGGTCCTACTTCAGCGACTCTTCCGGCAAAATCAAGTCCGGGAGTTGCTGGTTTTGGGATGGCCATTCGCCCAACAATGGGTAGCTCTGCAAGCTTGTAGTCGACCTGGTTCAGAGCAGCAGCATGAACTTGAATCAGAGATTCTCCACTTGCGAGTGGCCGCTTCGCTGTCGGCAGCGGTACTGATTCATTGAGCTGTATTGCCTCCTCGAGCGTGGTACTACATGTTGACCATTGCCATGCTCTCATCGTTGCTGGCAGGCGCATCGTCTCTGTTCCGGTAGTAGTAGTTTGCGACATCGTCCAAGTAACACTGTGTGCGTGGTAGGAGAAATGAGAGGTAAAAAGACAGAAGTGAGTTTCAAACCCGATGCGCTGTCATATACAGTTGCGTTGCGGCTGGTCGTCAACCAAGACTGTGGCTATCATACGGATCCCCGCACGGGGAAGCTGCGAAGAGACCATGGTGTACATCGCAGGATGAGTAAACCATCAAGACCCATCAAGATCGATAATCAGCGAGGTTTCATGCAGAATGGAGTTGATTGTCAGCACTGTGCATAGGACATCATTGACACGAGTGAGGAAGCGAAGGACATGCGGGCAGAATGATCGCGATTGCTGCGTTGCTAGCGCCGGACTTCGCACTACCGCTACACAGGCAGCTACTACCCAACACCACCGCCAAACATCCTTCACTCGCGTGGCCCTCAGCATGTTAACTACGCGGTATCTACCGTTCGCGCCAGAAGTCACTATCCTCGGCAATGATAACCTGCTCGTCGTCGGACACGTTCCCTTCAGCAATGCCATCCATATCGTGCCTCATTGGCGTGTCGGCCGTACGACCCCTCCACTTTCGACGCTTTGGCTCGCCAGCTGCATATTTTGCAAGCACAGCACTGACAGATGGAGGCGGGTCTTCTTCCTCCATGTCCTCTGGTTCGCCTTCGATGTGGTTGTCCATCGCTTCCTCATGTCCTTTATGGTCTGACATTCTTTCCTCTTCTGTCTCGCCAAGTATTTCGTCATTCATGACGCAGTCATTTCCTTTGGATTTCTTCCTTGTGCACTCGTCCTGATCTTGCGCCTTTCTCTTTGGACCGGCGCGAAAAGGTATCCGGGTCTGATTACTGTTGTCGTCCTTCACGAGCATGGCGTCTAGACTTGCAAAATCGTCATCGGCCTTCTTTGTAAGAAAATTGTCAGTCTCATGCTTCGGCCTATCCGATGGCGCCTTGGGGTCTTGTCTGTGGGACTTTGGCTGGTCTTTCGCCAGCACACGTCCGTTCCGTGGCCCGCTCGTATCCAAGATCACTTGCGCTGCTCGCTTCTCTATGGCATCACGGAGACCCTCGAGCACCTCAAGGCGTGTTCTTACGTCCCACCCGAAGACGATCGTTCCTTTGCGGGATGTTACGTCGATGCGATATCTGTCGGATGATATTTGGATAGTGACCAGGTTGACGTCGCGAACACTGGCGACGGAAGGATACTCGGTACGGACTAGAAATACCAGCGTATCTAGATACTCATGTCAGTTTTCTCTCATAGACAAGGAGCGTTTGGGACGATTAGTGACCTACTGATCAGCTGTATACGCTCCTGCTCGGACAAAGTGCCTCCAATATTAGTGAGCGCCATGAAATGCGAGTGAAGGGGATCCGCATTAGTCATGGCAAAGGATTGATCTCTGGAGCTGTGACACTCTAGATTGATGCGGCAAGAATCAGTGGTATTGCCTGGGGTGAGGAAAGAACGCACTATCGACGCTACAGTTATAGTGAAATCGACGCTCTAGCAAGACGTGTTTGCATTCACTGGCCGAATCGCGTCTCTTCCAGTTCACTCGATCAGCAATCAACGATCGAAAATTATTAGATTACTGATAGGTAGTTTGACTGTGTAAGTTTGCTATCAGAGACCAAACATGCGTAGTCTGACAAAGCAAAGTGTTCGCGCTATGCTTGAGGAGCAAAACATCTGGATTCTCTTTCACCTCAGTTCTTTGATACGATATTCTTTTTTGAGATGAACGGCTGTCTCACGATCTCTAGAGCTTTCGAGTATACTCTTGCTCAGCACTAGAGCAAGAATGCAAGATAATATCCCATTTGGTGCCATCTAAATTATCTAAAGCAAAGTTTGTACAGATGGTAAGTGCAGGTGTGGTGTCCAAGGATTGCATCTAGATCAGGAATTTTGATATTGGAAAGCTAGTTCTACGAGCGACATGTAAGCAGGACCGTACTGGCAGCCTTAAACTTTACCGCTTAGGCGATCTATTGGTAGCCCTGGGGGTATCGGTCAGGTTCGTGGTTGCGCTAGGTTGTAGATTGGCGATGACACCAGCGACTTTGATAACTTGATATATAGATAAATCTCCTTCAAGGACATTCGTAGATCAGCGGCGGGGGTAGTCGGTCAATGTATGCGGTGTCAGGTGGGCGCGTGGGTTGACCACCTCAGACCATGGGACGGGCGGTTAGCGCAATGTCCGTGCCCAGCTTGACATCAACCATCATCGATCTCTGGTAACGAAGCTGCACCTATCCTCACCGTATCTGCGCCATAAACGCAGTGCATTGATTTCCTTACTCGACCAACGTCCTGGAGACCTAGATATTGGCGTCGCATACCCTCTACCTCGGCCTAGTATCAGCGCAGCCAACTCCGCACCACCTCGAAGCATCTAGCTTCGCGCCTCGAATCGACCGCGCCGTACCTCGTCTTCCTACCAACACACACTCTCTTCAAGATGGCATCAAGGAAGAAGGTCCTCCTCAAGGTATTTTAGCTCCCAACAAGGTCTGCCCTTCACGGCTAATGCGCGCAGGTCATTATCCTCGGAGACAGCGGGGTCGGCAAGACGAGCTTGATGAACCAATATGTATGGAGAACCCATACTAGAGCTATACACGACGCCAGCGATGGCTAGAGGATATGGACACTGGCTTATGCAGTCTCTACAGGTCAACAAGAAGTTCAGCGCAAGCTACAAAGCCACGATCGGTGCCGATTTCCTGACCAAGGAAGTGTTGGTCGACGACAGGCTGGTTACCATGCAGGTGTGTACATGTGAATCTGCGCGCTTGGATCTTACTGACGTACGATAGCTCTGGGACACTGCCGGCCAAGAGCGCTTCCAATCGCTCGGTGTTGCCTTCTACCGCGGTGCCGACTGCTGCGTGCTCGTATACGACGTGAACAACTCGAAGAGTTTCGATACCCTGGATAGCTGGAGGGACGAATTCTTGGTTCAGGCCAGCCCGATGGATCCTGAGAGCTTCCCATTTGTAGGTGCATACGGGTAGATTGGGTGTACATCTGTACTGACGCGGACAGGTCGTCATTGGCAACAAGATCGATAAGGAGGAGAGCAGCAGGATGGTGAGCCTCTATAGCGACCGTTCAAGGCTTCATGCTAACAGCCCCAGATCTCGTCCAAGCGCGCCATGACGTTTTGCCAATCGAAGGGTGGTATCCCGTACTTCGAGACCAGTGCTAAGGAGGCCATCAACGTCGAGCAAGCTTTTGAAGGTAAGCCAGGCCTAGAGCCATCCGAATCCCCGCTTCCGGAAGCTAACATCCGTAGTTATCGCACGACAAGCTCTAGCACAGGAGGACGTAGGTGACTTCAGCAACGACTTCCCCGAGACAATCCCGATCGACCTCAAGGGCAGCGAAGGCGGTTGCGCATGCTAGTGTATGCCATCACGAAATAAGCGACGTTTATGAGAGCCGACAGTGGAACCTCATCTGCCGCAATGCCGTCTTGCATCTGGAGTTCGCATGGAGTTTGGTGTTGAACATGCTTGTTGAGCAGGAGGATCTCTTACTCCTGTAATCTATCATCACGGATGGGATCATTGTCACCTAGTCGATATAGCTGTCTAAGAATATATGAATACATACATGAACAGTACTTTGGCCTGGAGTGCTATGAAACGCGTGCCTTCCGCCCGCGTATCCGTGATGACGTGGGTCCGTGGCTAAGGCGGCACCGCCACAATTCCGTCAACGGGCCTCTTTGAGACACGAGGACACATGAAACTCGCAACCCCCGGGACTTAGCACCCTCTTATCAAGTGTCCGCGTGTTACGCCGAACCACCCCGTGCCACGAGTCCATCACTTGCATAGTTCTCTGCCTTTGACAAACGACTGATTTCATGGGCGCTCGCATATTCTTCCATGCCTCGACACGTACCCCGACCGTGAGCCCGCTTATCACCGAAGACCCTCCTTGACGGACCCGTCCTATACACCTACAATAATTTCTATTACACCCTGCCAACATGATACCTCGGAGGGAAGAGGATGTTGAGACGACGCCGCTCAGTCCACGCGTCAGCGACGTCTCCGACGAGAGCGCATACTTGCGCGGGGAAGACTACCTCGAGAGCCCTGCGAGCGAGGCCAGCCAGTGGGCCGAGGGACAGAAGAAGGGACTGTGGACGAGCAAAGTGCGACATGCAGTAGGAATAGCCCTCCTACTTGCGACGGTGCTACTGTGGACAGCTAGTAATTTCCTCGCGAGTGTACGTATCTCGCATCCCCTGGAATGGCATGGGTATTGGTAAGCGCATAGCTGACAAGCCAACAGACAATATTCGCAGACGATTCCTACTCGAAACCCTACCTTGTAACCTACGTAAACACAACATTCTTCGTCATCCCTCTCCTACCCATGTTCCTCCACCACCTATGGGTCGACCGTCACCGTCCCAATAGCGCGCGGCAGCACCGCCAACCTCTCCTAGCGCACGCACGCGACCTCTTGCAACGGCGAGCAGGGAAATGGAAGCTCCTCCGCGAACACGAGACCCCCTCTTCAACCTCAGCCTCGAACAAAGCTCGCAATGACGAGGCAACCGAAGTCCTGTTATCATCTTCGCTGCACGGCTCCCAGAGTTTCGCAACAGGGAAAAGTGGCGGTCAGGACGATGACGACGGCTTGACGATAAGGGATACGGCGAAACTGGCGCTGGAGTTCTGTCTCCTTTGGTTCCTGGCAAACTACTTTGCCGCCGCATGTCTTGAATACACAACCGTCGCAAGCTCTACCATCCTTTCTTCCACGTCATCCATCTGGACCTTGCTTTTGGGATCCATAATGCGCGTCGAACGATTTACGCTGCTCAAGTTCCTCGGCGTGCTCGCGTCTCTCGGCGGTGTGGCCCTCATCTCCATGGTCGACGTATCCGGCGAGACAGACGAGAACCGCGGCTCCTTCCCGCACAAAACACCAAAGGAACTGGCCATTGGCGACGTTATGGCCTTTGTGTCGGCTGTACTATACGGTTTTTACACAGTCTTCATGAAGTCTCGGATTGGCGACGAGACAAAAGTCAACATGCCTCTCTTCTTCGGCCTCGTTGGATTGTCCAACATCTTACTACTCTGGCCCGGATTCATCATCCTGCATCTTACCGGCATAGAACCTTTTGAGCTCCCGCCCACATCGCGCATTCTCAACATCGTGCTCATCAACAGCGCATCATCTCTCGTCTCCGACTTTTGCTGGGCGTACGCTATGCTGCTTACCTCCCCGCTGATTGTCACTGTTGGTCTTAGTCTGACCATTCCGTGCAGTTTGGTTGGGCAGATGCTGTTGGACTCACAGTATGCATCGGCGTTGTATTGGGTTGGCGCAGCGATCATGGTGCTATCTTTTCTGTTCATCAACCATGAGGATCGGAGAGACGAAGCAGAGGGACTGCAGGGCGCAGATGATGCTGTGACGGAGGTGCAGAGGGGCTTTCAGAGTATAAGACAAAGCTTAAGTCGAAGGAATTCGAGGACGGACGTTTGATGTCGGATACCTGGGTCATATTCCCAACCTGTTCATACACATATTCTTTGAACAATTCTCCATAGCCAAATACCAAAGTCACTCCTATTGGTTCATGGGGTATCATAATGCAAGTCATAGTAGTACCAATTCCTCATTTCCGTCCACCATCCATGTTTTTTGAGTACCCATTCCGTCCATACTTTCCCTTACCCTTCGAGTTCCACTTCTTACCACCGCCCTTGTAACTCTTCTCTCGGTCATTGTCTTTCCTCTGCTCCTTCAGATCCTTCTTCCTCTCCTCCCAGCTCTCGTCGTCGTCCAGTTCCTCAATTGGCCAACCCTCCTTCTCCATGAACTCCTCGAGCTGCTTCTGGAGTTGGGGCTCCCACTTCGATTGGTCTTCCAGATCCGTGTATTCTAGGACGTTCCGACCGAGCGTGTAGTCGCCTTGGCGAGAGCGGATGAGAGACGACATGAGGCCGAGCGAGTTACAGGCTAGACCGAGGTCGTGGCAAAGAGAGCGTACGTAGAAGCCAGATGTTACTGTCATACGAAGGCGGGCTGCTGGGGGTTGCGGAGTGGGCGCAGATGTAGTGGTGACATCGGTGGGTTCAGCAGCGTTATCCTGGGTGATTGTTGATGTGTTTTCGGTTGCTTCAGCTTGCTCCACTGAGACTACAGGCTTCTCTTCGGTTGGTAATGATGCTTCAACACTGGCGTCTGTGACTTCGTTCTCCGCGGGGGTCTCCTCAACGGGTGCTACCTCTGCTGGTAAGGCGCCAGACATGGCGGGCTCGGAGTCTGTCTTGGGTATCTTCGGTTGCTGCCCTGCGCCCTCAACATGGTCGTTTTCTGGTGACCTCGATCGTTTCCGTCCTCTTCTTGCCGCTGTGTCGGAGTAGACTTTTGCATCTTCTTTCCGAATGCCCATTAACTTCTTTGCGCCCTCCATTTCAGCACCATCCACTTCCTCCTTTGGCCAAGCAAAGTCATGACTTCCGGGCTCCAACCACTCGACAAGCTCCAACTCCTCCACCTCGACCGGTCGCGCAGCCACCTCTGGTATGTCCTTGCCCTCTCTAGCGTATTCGTACATCTTCTTTCCGTCGACCTTGAGCGCAGAGAAGACGCTTGGCTTTTGCAAGATCTTGCCGCGAAATTGCGCTAGCTTCTCCTCTACCAACTCCTTTGTGACATGTTCGTACTCCGCCTTGCCGACAACCTTGCCTACAGCGTCGTAGCTGTCTGTTGCCGCGCCGAACAGTACCACGCATTCGTATGTCTTTGTGCACTCGAGGAAGCGTTGTAGGCATTTGGTGCCCTTGCCCATGCCGACAATCAAGACACCCGTAGCCATTGGATCGAGGGTACCGCCATGACCGAGTTTCGCTTTGATGTTCTTGAGGTGTTTGGGCTTAGCGTCCGCGATAATGAGGGAGCGTTTCTGGGCTTCGAGCCAGGGTGCGAAGAGCGGCGAGCGAGAGAAGTGATCTTGGAGGTCGCGCAAGACACCGGCGGAGGAGGCCCATTGAGGCTTGTTGATGGCGAAGATACCTTCGAGCACCTTGCGACTCTCGGTGGGTGGAGTAGTCATAATTGCGCGCTTTATCGAAGACGCGACTTGCATCAGTGGGGTGATAGAAGGAAGCTCGGAGCTCTAGCTACTGGGTAGGGCGGGATATATCGAGGCCAATAGAGATTAACAGACTTGAGTTGCCTACAGGCTAGCCAGACGTCTATTCTGGGAAATCAGGCTGGAGTATACATCGTCTTGGGTACTACTTGTTTATTGAAATATAGTACCATGTATGCGGCAACGCGAAATTTCGTAGCCGTTCCGAGAATATGCGCCAAGCCGGAAGGCGCGCTAGTGGGCGATCATCTCACATGTTTCTGCAGCTGCCTCGCGCTTGCGACCATTCACACTCCACTTGCGACTTTCGTCTCCCCTCTCGATCCTACGCGCCAACGTCCCGCTCTGGGCCCCTGAATTCTCACGTATACCTTGGTCTACCGACATCATGAGCGACACCAACAAGGACCTCGAAGATCTCGCGAAATCAACGACCGAGGATTTCTACGAGTTGCTTGGTGTAGCCTTCGATGCGCCGGAAGCTGCAATCAAGAAGGCTTACCGTAAAGCCTCGATTCGTTACCATCCCGACAAAAATCCCGACAATAAAGATGCTGCGGATCGCTTTATTTACTTAGGATGGGCTCGAGATATCCTCATAGACGAGAAGCTAAAGGGCGAATATGACCGCGCGCGTACCAGGCGGCGGGAGAAAGCGCTCCAGGATGAGCTTCTGGACGGTCGGCGGCGCAAAATGAAGGATGACCTGGAAAGGAGGGAACGAGAGGGCAAGGACTTCATGAACAACCTAAAGAGGAAGAGGGCGGAAGATATGAACGAGGCGGAGAGGAGAGAACAGGAGATACAAAGATTAGCCGAAGATGGCAAGAGGCGCAGAAAGGAGGCACAAGAGCGCATGGAGAAGAAGCGCAAAGAAGAGGACGAGGCAAGCTTCGTGGATGTAAGCCCTGAGCCACAGGCACCTAAGCCTGGGGACTCCGCCGAGATCGATCGCACAGTCAAGGTCCGGTTCCAACGAGAAGGTGACGCTATAAACTGGGATAAAGACAAGATATCGAGCATGTTTGCGAAATACGGCAAGATCGACAGCGTCGTTATGGGCAAGGACAAGAAGATCCGACCATCAGGAGAGAAGCACCGCAAGGTCATCGCCATTGTCTTTATCATCTATACACGTCTCGATCACGCGCACGCCGCTGTCCTGGACGGGAAGGCCGACTACCCGTCGCTCGAATCCGTGGCTTGGGCGAACGGCGAACCCGACCTTAAATCGCCAACCAACGACGCGCCCTCCGCCCCGTCAACGCCCATATCTACGCCGAAGAACCAGTCATTCAGGTCATCGTTTGGACCTGGCGTAGGGAAGGGCGTTGGAAGTACCACGCCACTAGGAACACCAAAGTTCTCTTTCAGCCCGAAGACACATAGCTTGGAAGAGGTCACCATGATGAGGTTGAAGCAAGCAGAGAAGAAGCGCTTGGAAGATCAGATACGCAAGCAGGAGGCTGCCGAGGAGGCTGCGGTATGATGAGATGACTTGATGAATTCGTTGTGTTAATCCAAGATACCCACTATTAGTATAGTTTAATTTGCCGGCTACATTAACTTTCTCCATAGTTTATGCTGCTTTCAAGTACTGTTGTATGCTCCCGGCGGTGCCCTGGAGTTCTCTTTCGGAGATGGCCTTTCCCGTGTCGTCGCACAAGTCAGATCTGGTACAGCTACATTTTGTAAGAATCCCTTCAGTGATATATCGGCTTGCCGACTACATAAACTTGGATGCAACACCTTCTAGCTTATAAAATGTGTTGCAGGCTGCAACGTTTGAGTTTGGCTTTCGAGTGACGCAAGTGACCTCGGGAAGCAGCTATCGATAACACACGCCTTTGACCCTGGACGCGCATCCCGTCTCGCGCCCTTCGCGCCCGCCCGCATTGCCCATCCCCACTACATCTTTTACCTGACTTTGGACACGCAGCTCTGTTTTTGTAACACCGCAGCATGCAGCATTCCCGACATTATTTCTTAAGATGCCGACTCCAGAATCCGAGATACTCAAGCCACTCGACGCCTCCAACACCAACTCCGACGACTGGGAGATCTTTGTCCTGAGCGATGCGCGCATCGTCTTCGAGAGCAATGGAAAACCTGCGAGCCTTCTTGCTGCATATGCAGATACTCCCCTCCGAGTGGAAGGGCGACTGGAGACTCCGGGGCGCAGCCAGCTGAAATATCGTATGTGAGACATGCTTGTCGGATGTTGGACGCGACGACTAAGCATAGAGCTCTGGCTAACGCGGCTGCAGTTTTGAAGAAGCCCTACAAACCCATGGAAATCGAATTACAACATGTAACGCGCTTCTCCTACGGCGAAATGACCGACGGCGCATACGTAATCTGGGCGCAAGGCCAGGCAGGCTGGTTCGAGATACGACCGACAGCGCAGTACAAGCCCATCTATGACCAGATGGTCCAGGCTGTGGAACTTCTATACTTCGTCACAGACATCTACGGCGAGTCGCGGAAGAAGAGCAGCGGGCCCAGTGCTGAACTGGTCTTCCAAGAGGTCAGCATGTCTTAGAATCATGCAACATTGTGGCGCTAACACTATACAGTATGCAGAGGACGAGCGTTTTCCCTGCAACGATGTGGCCACGGCCGAGAAAATATTTGACCAACATCACCTGTTCCTCATGATGTGCTTTCTGAACAAAGCCCAAGGACTGAGCTGGAGTAATACGCCTGTTTATCAACGTTTCAGACGGCGGTTTCCGGTAGGAAGCATGGAGCTCGAGCGTGTGCTGAATCTGACGTACGTTTAGAAAGACTTCGATAATTGTAAGGCACGAATCGAAGGGCGCTATTCTCAGATCCAACCCGAACGCTCAACGAGGACCCAGAAGTCCGCGTCTGCACCAACACCGGCTTCCAAATCGGCACAAGCGAATGCGACACCGAAACCATCGGAAGCGCCGAAGAAAGACGACAACTGGTGGGAGGCGGCCGCACTCTTCGAATTCATGCAGAAAGCAGTGAATCAACGGGTTCTACGAGCAGGACGGAACCACATTACGGTGGATCGCGTTGCCGAACTCATCGTCAGACGATACGAGATTGAGGAAGTGGACACTGCGAAGAATGTGCTTCTGGTACATGCACAGAATTTGTGCTACATGATGGACCACCCGCGGCGGAAAAACGTACAATTTTTTGCCTCCGAACCGATATACCAAGAGCTGGCAGCTGGACACACACTTTCCGCAGCAGAACAACGGCGAGCTGAAGGTGTGGAACTGAAACCACGCAAAGATCACGCAACTCTGAGAGACGGTGAAAGCGGTTCTTCAGATACGTCCGACGAAGGAGACGACGCCATAATAACACCTGTGCGTAGGCCACCAGGTAGACGGAAGCAAGGCCGGTTATCTGTGCTACGACCTACGAGTGGAAAGTTTTCTGGCAAGAGCAAAGGGATCAGCATTAAGCCAGGGAGACAGAAAGGCGGAAAGGGGAAAGCACCCGTGCCGGCAAGTGATGACTCGGAAGCCGAGCAAAGCAGCAACGCCACAAGTAGTGATGAAGATGATGAGGAAGAAGGCATCGAGACACCAACCCACGCCCTATCACCAGGTCGAGAGAAGAGGAAACTAGACGATACAGACGGCGATCAAGACGAGAAGGATCGACGAAAACGTACAGCCAGTGCATCCATAGCACCTGAATCTCCTCCCACAACTGGCGACTCGGACTCTGCTTCTGAAGGAGTCAGCGCCGTACCACCTCTTCCGCTACGCTCCCGGCCCTCCCATCTCCCTCCCCATGCGAATTCAGCATCATCATCAGGAAACACCAAATCAATAGTATCACCACCGATGATATCAACACCCTTACCGACATACGAAGCAAATGGCCCCCGCGACTCCTGGATCTGCAGTTTCGATGGTTGCACCCAGAAAATCTACGGATGCAGTAAAGAGTTGGGTAGGCAATTGATCACAGAACACTTGGAAGATCACAGTCGAGGGCGAGAGAAGGTTGTTGGTATTCTTTGGAGAGAACAGGATAGATTGAATCTACCTGTTAGGTAAGTCAATGTCTCCGAAGGTAGAGATGCAAGCACAGTAAGCTAACACTTTGACAGCAACTTGATCAAGAAAATCCGTGAAATGAACGAGGCGGCTACGCCGCTGTTCCCGGTGCCTGGTGCTCCGGCGACGGCAGTGCAGCCAAAGCCTATACAAAGACCTGTGTAAATTCAAGAACCTATCCATACTCCCACTTGCTTTGGAATGAAGAGCCCAGTGATTTGAGTCCTGGTGTAATTATTGACTACTTTTCAATCTTCTACGCATCTCTAAATCGCTTCCTCTTTACATTCTCGCAACCCATCTCACACATATCGTCCAACGTCCTCTTTTCTCTTCTAGTGTTTTTTTCCAAGCCGTTCTCCTTGTCACCTTCGTCTCCCACACGACTTTCAATACTCTCCCTCACTTCACCTACACTATTCACGTATCCCACTTCAACATCATACTCCTCCCAGATCGGACTCGTAACTTCATACGCCTCTCCCGTGCCGACTTTGACATGCCATTTTGGATGTGGGAAGGGTAGCGCGCAGATGGGTGTTCGGAGGTAGGATTCAGGGTAAGGGATGTCTGTCATATGTGTTGTTTGGGGCCATGATTGGCTATAATTGTAGACGCCGGTCATGGCATTGGTGTTGGAGTGTAAGATATGTTGCTGTGCTGGAAATCGGAATTGGTGTTGGTGTGTTACTGATGGAGTTTTCGAAGCAAAGTTTTGTGTTATATGCTGACTGTGGATAGCTGTCTCTTGAAGCATTGAGCCATCGATGCCAGATCTGATATGCGCCATTGGGGATTCAAACTGGATACTAACATTGCGGGAAGGCGAGAGCATGACCTTGATCAAATATATTGACATATTGAACGAAATCACCGTACAAGATGCATCCGAATACGACGGTTAAAGATGCTTTCGGAACATACTGGTCTTCCGCTCTTTGTTGACCGGATCAAGATGAAGTACAGATGATGCGTAACAAAGAAGAAAAGGCGCATCGGAATGCATGTACCCAAGGAGGGTAAGAGATTTGAAATTTTGGGTCGATGTGACGCTACTTTATACACTGATCGTTTTGAAGACGTTGAATCCTGATCCTCCTGTGGCCATGATGGCGCCCGGAATCTGCGGGTGCCAGTGCGCCTCCTTGATCTGCTCCATGTAATGCACGAACAGCAATTGCGGCGGTACATCTTGGACACCTGCTGTGTACTTGCTCTCTTCGTCGTCGAGTTCGACAGCCAGATCCCACAGAGTGAGTGTGTTGTCGCCGGCGCATACAAGCACGATACTGTCGTCTGTGGGATGCCACTCGACTGAGGTGATTTGCTCCTTGTGGAAGGTGTATGACGCAACTGGTGAAGGCTTCTTCTCGCTCGACATATCGGTAGAAGGCTTCCATTGCCGCAGGTCCCAGACTCCCCACTCGCCGTCGTCTGCGCCGGTAGCGAGGAGATGAGCGGTTTGGTGCGACCAACTCAGTACGTTGACATCTGTTTTTGAAACCTGTACACTGAGCACCGGCTTCCGTGACTTTGACCGCGCATCCCAGATCTTGACTGTGCCATCGCTCGACGCAGAGGAGAATACGTGCTTCTCGGTTGGTGACCACTGGAGCTCCTCTACTGAGCCACTGTGGCCGGTATACGGCGTGGTGTCTGTGACAAAACCTCCACCCTGTGTCCGTGTTGTCGCAAAGATCTTTCCGGTACAATCACCCGTCAGAAGCTTTCCCTCTGGTATCAATGGCGACCAATCTAGCGCATAACCTTCGTTTGATCCATGTGCGCGAATCGTGCAGACAGGCTTGTTTTGTGTAGGCGAGATGGTGGTACCGGGGGTGTCGAAGGCTGTGAGGTGTGGGGTAACGTCATGGATCAAGACCTGTCCCGACTCGGTCATGGCGGCGGTAAGAGTCGTAGGAGGTTGTGCGGAGGTGGCTTGCGGTGTCTGGTGGGCACGTATGCGGTTCGTGCAGCTCGTCAACGGTATCGACTTTGTCTCGAGGATAGGATCTGAGGCCTCGTCGTCGGATTCTTCGTCATCGTCCTCTTCATCCTCCTTCTCCATTCGTGACAGACTGCTCATCTTCATGACCATAATCTGGTTTTCCTTGTCCCTTCCTCGCGCTGCTTGTGTGCCGGCTACTGAGTAGACTGTTGCAGGGTATGTTTTGCGGTCTGCGCCTAGGTTGTCGGGTACGATGTCGCATGAGAGACAGGGCCACGGCGCTTCGAGCGCATGAAGCATCTCGTATGTGGAAAGATCGGGGTTCAATGTCTCGCCTGGTGAGAGTTTGTGTCGACCGGGAATGAAAGTATCTTGGTCCACGTCCATGCCATCTGGAGGCGTTAGTTTTTGGATTTTCGATATTTCCCTCCGGCAACCTACTCTCGCGCTCCTCAGCTTCGCGCTCTTCGTCTGGTCGACCGTCTACGCCTGCCTCGAGAATCTCATCCTCGCTCTCGAATTCATCTTCGAATTCATCCTCAAACTCGCCCGCTTCGTTGTGTTGGTCGATTTCCATGGGACGATCTCCATTTTTGATAGCCTCTTGCTCTTGCTCTGAGTCTGCGGGTCGCTTCGCCATGGTGTGTGATTGTGTGAGGTTGTGTTTTGGGGTGTCTTGTGGCAGGCGTGAAAAAGTTGGCGCTGGAATTTGTCCCGCCAAATGTTTTTTGAGGCGGCTTATCGATCGGCGTATCGGACCACGCTATGACGCCCCCCTCTCTTAGGTGCCCACCGGGGCTGTTGCGTGCATCTCTGGAGCGAAACACTGCGCTTACCCCCAGTCCAATCGCATCCCGCACATCCCAGGTCAACACCACAGAGGCCGCGCCCATAATACCGACTCTCCCCCTTAAGGTCGCATAGAATTGTTCGAGGAGCAGAGTCGCCAAGGAAGAAGAAAACACATTGTCAGCTTGCTTTCACCGTCTTGACGCGTGCCAGCGCGCTTTCAGCCCAGATCAACAACCGCGGGGACGCTGAGACATACTAGCCATGGAGCCAGAATACTCGAGTCAGGAACCCGCGCAGCAGCCCTACGTAGCTGCCACAGAAGTGCAGCACGTACAGCAAGTGCAGCCTGAGCAGCTGCCGCCCCAGCAACTGCAACCCGAGCCAATGCAGCCCGAGCAGGTGCCTGTCGAACCAGAACAGGAAGCGCAGAAGCACATGGACCAGACCATGGACGTCGCCGACGACAGCATGAGTTCGACTATCACCGCCTCCACTGTCACACCGCTACCAGACCTCACCCAGAACGCGAGCCTGAATAACAGTCCCAACCCCTACGAGCAGCCTCACCGACCGTCAACATCCTACTCAGACACCGCGTACCAGTACACAACACACAACGGGACGCGCTTCAACACATCATCAGACGCCGACACACCTCCACGGCACGGCTACTACGATGCCAACAAAGAAACACACATGGGCCAGTCGCATTCGCGGCCCAGCTCGCAGATGGGACGCTATCCGACTTCGGAGGGCAACACGCGGTCAAACTCATATCAGGACCAGCGAGGGAGCGCCCAACAGCAACAACAGGAGGCCGCCAAAAATGCCAGCGTCGTCATCAAGGTCGGCATGGTCGGAGACGCGCAGATCGGAAAGACCAGTCTAATGGTCAAGTATGTTGAGGGCAGCTGGGACGAAGACTACATCCAAACGCTCGGTGGGTTACACAGGCATGTTTCACAAACTGCAGATTCTGACAACCACAGGCGTCAACTTCATGGAAAAGACCATTTCGATCCGGAACACAGAGATCACCTTCTCCATTTGGGATTTGGGTGGTCAACGTGAATTCGTCAACATGTTGCCGTTGGTTTGCAACGATGCTGTTGCTATACTGTTCATGTTCGACCTGACACGAAAAAGCACATTGAACTCCATCAAGGAGTGGTACAGACAGGGACGCGGTTTCAACAAGACTGCCATCCCATTTTTGGTCGGCACAAAGTACGACCACTTTGTCAACTTCCCGCGGGAAGAGCAGGAGGAGATATCTAACCAAGTACGAGTCCCTGCCAAAAACAATTTAGAGCCGAAGGACTGACAGCACCTAGGCTAAGCGATTTGCGCGAGCAATGAAGGCCAGTCTAATATTCAGCTCAACCAGCCATAGCATCAACGTGCAGAAGGTGAGAGCTGTCCATGCCCATTACCAAGCCCATACTGACTCTGCGTCAGATCTTCAAGATCGTGCTATCCAAAGCCTTTGACCTGAAATGCACAATCCCCGAGATAGAAAATATTGGCGAACCCTTACTCCTCTACCAGGCCGTTTAGTCGCCGGCAGACCGTAGAGTCAGGCCCAGGACAGAGGGAACACGTATGAACCTGTCCGAGGGTCAGATTGGGCGCGTCTTCTACCGGAACGTTACCATGAGCGAATGATTTTCATGACTGTTTTGCGTGGGATTGCATGGCTCGGCGATTGGAGCAAGGTGCTAGATACATGGTTGGTGCAAAACCGGCGTTCTTCTGCTTGTATATGCGGAAGTGATTGTATGATTCGGGCAGCAAGGCCTCGGCCGGGGCACGAAGTCTAGCGCCCAGGACGCGCAAGATTTGTAGCTTTACAGCAAACATCCTAGTGTAATACCGACTTGTCAGAATCGACTGCATCTTATTAAGTTTGCGTGACTTCCAATCAACGCGCATAGCGGCAAGTTTAGGCGAATGACGTAAGCTTCCGCAGCTAAAAAGTTACGGATCCCAGCAAGCAACACCAATTAACACTGCTTCAAAACCGCATCCGCAGACATTGCCCCAACGCGAACGATTCCACACTACCGACAGACCGGATCGCGAATTGATTGACACACTGGAAATCGAAAGCAACGTACTGCCTTGTCACTGAAACAGTCGTAGAGACTGAAGAAGAAAGACTCTCACGAACACGATCTTGGGAAGACACAGCTTCATCCATCCACTACAATGGCGCTTCCTTCAATAGCGCTCCCGGGCCAACTGCTCGGAAGTGTCGACAAATACAGTCCAGGTCCAGGAACACACATCCACGACTCGCAAATCTACGCCTCAATAGCTGGACCCGTTTTCTCTTCGCCATCACATCCCTCCACACAAAGCGCATCTTCCAAGTCCGGCAAACTCGCGCCGCTCCTCTCAATAACGCGTCCTCCCACCTCCACCGACCCCGGTATCCTCGGTCCCAACTCTGGCGGCGGCGTACCCCTCCTCCCGATCGTCTCCAGCACAGTCCTCGTTCGCATAACGCGCCTCGGCCCACGCTTCGCCAGCTGCGAAATTCTCGTCATCGACGACGCCGTATGCCGCGAAGCCTTCCTAGCGCAGATCCGACGCGAAGATATCCGGGCTACAGAGAAGGACAAGATAAAGATTGAGGAGAGCTTCAGGGTGGGTGATCTGGTTAGAGGTACGGTCATCAGTCTGGGAGATAGCGGAAACTACTATGTCGCTACGGATCGCAATGAGTTTGGTGTTGTGTTGGCTAGGAGTGAGGAGGGGAGGGTTATGCATCCGGTTAGTTGGAAGGAGTTTAGGGATCCCGTCAGTGGGAAGGCGGAGGCGAGGAAGGCTGCTAAGCCGTTTTGATGGATCATGGATCATGGATCATGGATCATGTGGAATACAGTGGAGAAGATGGAGAGGGAGGAAAATTACATTGCTGAACAAGCATGGCAACAGGCGATAAGATACCCATGATGTGGATTGAAGAATAAGATCAAGCAGCTTTGGCACGCGAAGAAAACACTAGCGGGCTAAAGGAGGCATGTATCTTTGGGGAAATGACACAATTTCAGTCTAAGAGCCGTGAAACCAGGCAACGATACCCGCTATCAAATGTATAGAGTGGGCTGTTCTGGTTGCACCAGCCGCGGATTGCATCCATTCCATTTCTCCGGCCTCAGGCACACAGCAACCTGCGCAACAGCATCACCAACGGAACAAGCCGCTGCACACCAAGATCCAGCTGAGACAACGAGGGGCAACGAGCTAAATATACCCTCCTTCCTTCCACCTTCATACATGTTCCCGATGGCGAAAATAGCAACGAAGCAAAACCAAACACGGTCGCAGCGATTGATGTGACAATACTCTCGGTACCTGCATCGTGACGCGTATCATGTATGCAAGGCCGGGGAATCACACCCAACACGTAGTGTTCCATGACTCGAGGCAACACACGGGGCCAAGGGTATGTAGTAGCATGTGTAAGGTAACCCGAGAAGATGAGCTAAGTTTAGTGGCCAGGACTGCAGTTCTTAGTGCTTCCCATGCATGTAGTTAGAGCTGCACCACGAGAACGATTTAGAGTGAAGTTGAAATGAACGGCGAATAACACATGGTTGCAATTGTGAGAAATAAAGTAGAATATACTACGATTGACGCTTTCGCTGTAAGCGTCGAAGACGTTTTTGAATGAATCAGCAGGTGCTCGCTGCACACAAATCCCCTATGATGTCGTCATGAAATAGCACAACGAGGTCGTCTCTGAAAATCCCATCTGTATCCCACCGCACCGTCTTAATCCTTCTCCTTTTTCTTCCCTCAGATTTGCTTCAAAAACACCCAAAATCGCTGCCTTTCCCTAGGCGTGAATGTGAATGGTACCAGGAACCGTAGATACGCCGAAACTCCGACCATGCTTGGGTCGACGCTGATCGCGCTGGATGAGCGTCTCTCGCTAATCATGCCACGCAAGATGCTGTAAAGATGACATCTTGTGTAATCTTTGACCGCAATTCTGATGCTTGGAAAACACTCCCTCTTCCATGTATGCTGTGGTGATGTCGTTTACAACGGCGACGATCGTTCGACAGCAGTATCGAAGGGATTCGTTCTCGACAATACCCATAGTCTTACAATGCTATCCTCTTCTAGACAGCAACGTCTCTTCTATTCGGTAGCGTAGTAGTCGTCTACAGAACGCCTCCGGGCAGGGGTGTCCCTCTATTCTGGTTACCCCACCCGAAGCTCTCTGTCTGCGGATTGACGGGCCGTACATCGTTTCCGCCCACAGTGCTGACATGGCCTTCTTGCGGTGCTGCATGCTTCCTAAGCATGAACATGGGTTTCCGGCCTTCCTTGTCAAGTTGTTTGAACAATATCAGCGGCCTCTCGTTGAGTCCTAGACAGCGCTCCTGATCACCATGTACAATATACAGGGCATACTGGCGCCAGTCTGCCGTAATGTTGTATTTCTTAAGCGCGACCGGGAGCACCTTGTGGCACGGATCGTCGATTGAGACTCGGAACGATTTGAAGATTTCAACTTGCGGGTTCGTGGATGGCGTGGATGCGGGATTGGATGCGGATGTGTTCATTGAGCTTGAACCGCCAGAGAGTGGTGGGTCGCGATCGTCGGGGGTTGGTGTTGGTGCAGCGTTGTTTCGCATCTGTCGTGATGACAGTGGTGCGGGCGTAGCGCGGGGGTCGCGATTGCGGTCGGATACAGCAGTTGTGTCTGAATTCCATGTGTTTTGACTCCACCCTGAGTTGCCGTCGTGGTCGTGCCCGCTTCGGGGTATTTCGCGGTTGTACTGGCGGCCTTGGCCTTGTGTGTATGCGGGGGATGTCGGGGAGGGTTGGGCGATGGAGTTGGGCGACAGTTGCGGGCCACCACCGAGAGATGCTGTGAGGTGTGAGGAGGCTGCGACGGCTGCTGCGGAGGGGTCCAAAGAAGAATGATCGACAAGAGCGCGATGTTCTTGGATTGTTGGAGAGGGGTTCTTTGGCGCGGATCCAAGGAAAAGCTTCTTGGTAGAGAACTTACGCGAAAGACTGCTGCCACCAGATCTCTCTTGAGTTGCAGGTGGCGATGTGACGGAGTGCTCGTGGGGCGTAGGCAGGGGTTGGTTATCCTTGAGCATGCGCACGAGTGGCAGGATCTCCTCTCGTAGCCGCTTGTTCTCGTCCATGACCCTGCTGAGGTCTTCTCTAAGATGTCGCAGCTCCGATTCGGCCGTGTGTATGCGCTCGTCGCGCGCCTGGACTACGCGAATGACCTTGGCGAAGTCGTCTTGGGTTGGCGGCGCTTCCTGTGCCGACGTATCCGCGGCTGAGGTGGTGGTTAGACGTGCAACGCCATGGCAAAGGCAATGGACTCACATAGCGGGACGTAGTCGTCGGGGTCCATGGGCACATTCTGCCGTACCTTGATCTCGTAGACGGCCTTGAGGATTGTCAGGCGGTGGCCTACACTGCCGACGCCCAGCTCCTTCAGCTCGGCATGCTGGAGCGCGGCGAGCACGTCGCCCGTGATGCCCTCGTCTACAAACAATGGGTTAGCAAACAATGCGTGGCGTGCGCGCGGTGCGACGTACTAGCAAAGGTGTCCGAGTACTGCTCCAGGCCCAGATCCGCGATGAAGTCGGCCGTCTGATCCTCGTTCCACTCCATTATGTGCCCCGTCGGGCTGCTCTTGCTGTCGCGCGAATGGGTGAAGGTGGTGGGCGTGTGTTCAGTGCTCAGCGGGCCGGAGCTCGTGGGGGAGCTCTCGTACTCGGCGGGTAGGGTCGGGCTAGAGATGCCCTGGCGCTCAAACTCGTCATCGGCGTCCGAGTCCTCATGGTACTTGGTCGTGTAGGCCATGGTGGGCGTGACGTCGACGGCCTCGTCGGGAGTCGGAGGGTTGGCAGAGGGTGGAGTGAGGTGATGCTGCCAAGCCCTCGCAGCAAGCTCGTCGAGGGGACGACGTCTGTGTTATCGATGGCGATGTCGCGCAGGCCGGTCGGTCCAGTGTCGTCGATAGGGCACCCTGTCTGAGACGAAGCGAGATTGAGCCGGCGTGTTTCGTCTCCAGCGGGAGCAGGTCGGGCTATCCTGGGCGCAGTCTCAGATACACTGCTAGCCGTGGCACGCAAGAGTGCAGGGCGGGGAGGGTGAAGGTCTTCGCAGGCGGCCAGGCGTGCCGGTCCCTAAGCGCTTTGTCGTCGACGCCTGATGGGGAAGCGCGTATCCTCGGGGGCTGCGATGGTCCCTGCAGTCGCCCTATGCCTTTGCCTGAGGTAGAAAGAAGTGCGCCAGGATGACTATGGAGAGCAGCGAGACGACGAGGCAGTGCACAGCAGGAGGAAGAGCGCTCTGCTCACGACGGCAACGTAAACTGGCTCGCCTGCTTCTGGATGCCAATACCAATACCGTCGACAGGCGGCTAGCAGGGCCACCCAAGCCAAAGCGGGAAAGAGCCCTCTGGGTCCGAGCTTCCCATACCAGCTGGAACCAATATTGCGATAAAGGATGCAGGTACCAAACACTCAGCTTTCACCACCGCCTGCCTATCCTCGTCGGGCAGCTTTGCACATGAACCCTCTTGCTCCAGTCTCCTAGCCTCGCCCTCGCGCTGCGCCGCTCCCGGGATCTCCCCTTCCATCGCCCACGCTGCACCTGCTCGCTTTCGGATCCGGCAAGTGCAATCTTGCAAGTTATCGTTCGCATCACGAGCCCGCAACGGCACCCGGTAAACCACGCACATGCGTCTAACGATCTTCACCGCCAACGTTGAACTAGGGCCATCTCTGCCGGCATCTGCCCGAATACGGCTACCCCGGCCAGTCGTTTAAGACGCTGCATCCCATATTACGACATCTGGCTACCTCCGAGCTTCAGAGCACAATCCCACGTGCGCCCAGCTCCCCGTCGTCTACGCGAACAGGATCACCCACTACTTCGCTATAAGGTAGCTCGCCCGGTATTGACAACTTTAGACGACCCTCCTCCTTTTTTCCTTTTTCACATCAATCTCACACCTGACGACTCACGAGCTCGGAACAATGTCTCAATCCATCAATGTAACTACGACTCAGGCCCAGTCCGGCATCTCCCAAGACCTGCGGAACAACATCTACTCGGCCCTTCTTTCTGGCGATGGCATCCGCAATATTGAATCCACCCTAGACGAATCCCTGCGGGCCTCTGGGTTCAAAGACGATCTAAGAGCCTACATTACCGATCTGTTCCGCTCGGGCCAAGCTACTACCTGCGAGGAAGCCCGGAATCTGGCGATGCAGAAGATCAGAGAGCAAACACGTGGTCTGGAGGAGCAAACCAACGGCGTAAACGGCACCAACGGAACGACGAATGGAGATGGAGAGAATGGAGAGGAGGTCAACTTGAAGATTCCGAAATCGGCAATCGACGCTGGTGCAAAGACAGTCATGAAGGAGTTGGAGAAGGTGTGCGACATCACATACGAGGACGACAAGTGATCGTCCCTCCTGCAATCTGAGAACGAGTTCACCTTTCATGCCACAGCAGACATGCAAGCTCATATCGCCTGAGTCAGGGTAGTTGAAAGGGAAGACTCCAAAGCAAAGGCCTTAACGAACGATACTATCGGTCGCGCAACCGACACCGATATAATGTGGGGCGGGCGACATCGTCCAACGGCATCGATGGGTTCCGGCCGCCATCTCGGATGATTAGAGACCTCGCCTATACCCATGAAACCTTGCCTCAAGACCACTGCGTCAAGTGGACAATGTTGGAGTCAGTCATGTTGGAGGATTGGTCGTTCGTGGAGTATGGATGGATTGGTGTAGAAAGTGCACGGTGATGGAACAGGGAGTCAAGGCAGAAATTGTAACACAGGTCAATACGAGGACATGATAGGCGCAGCAAAGATTCATTGATGACATGCATTCTCATTCAGGCCATTGGTTCGTGAAAGATACTACTGATATCCTGTCAAAGCGCTAGCAATTACGCGCGCCTCCATCTATCTATGAGACGTCAATCGCCCCTCATGCCGTGTGATGATGAAAAAGGGAAACCCATCCGTCGTGATCCTGCAACTGTCTAGTTGTACAGGTCCTCGTCCTCACCACCAGCGCCGAAGGTGTTCTGCTCACCACCGCCCGCTGCGTTCTCAGCGTCGGGGAAGCGGAAGAAGCTTGATCCTCCAGAGTTCTTCATCGACTGTGCGAAGGCCTCGTACCGGCGGATCTCAACATCGGTAACGGAACGACGAGCGGAGCGCATGGCCTCCTCGAAGTGAGCCTTGGTCAGCACAGGTACTGGGTCCTCCTCGTCTACCTCCATGTCAACATCCTCGCCAGCAGCCTCACGAGCCTTGCGGCGCTCAATGTCAATGGCAATAGACTGCTTGATGGCGAGCTTGACCGCACGCTGGGTGACGAATCCAAGATCGGCACCGGAGAATCCGTGGGTGTTCTGGGCGATGAAGTCGATGTTGACATCCTCGGCGACAGGGGTCTTGCGAAGCTGAGCCTTGATGATGCTGGCACGCGACGCCAGATCGGGCAGAGGAACGTAAACGAGAGTGTCAAGACGACCAGGACGGCACAGAGCATTGTCGAGCTGTTCCGGTCGGTTGGTGGCACCGATAACGAAGACGTTCTTCTTTGATGTCATACCGTCCATCTCAGTGAGGAGCTGGTTGACGACACGGTCAGACGCACCACCGGCATCTCCTTGAGATCCACCACGCGACTTGGCGATAGAGTCCAACTCGTCCAAGAAGACGACGCAAGGTGCGGCAGCACGCGCCTTGTCGAAGATGTCACGGATGTTGCTCTCAGACTCACCAAACCACATGGAGAGTAGCTCAGGACCCTTGATGGAGATGAAGTTGGCCGCGCACTCGTTGGCAACAGCCTTGGCAAGAAGCGTCTTACCAGTACCAGGAGGACCGTAGAACAGTACACCTCGCGATGGAGACATACCGAACTTGAGGAACTTGTCGGGGTGGTCGACTGGGTACTGCACGGACTCAATGAGCTCGCGCTTGACTTCCTCCAGACCACCAATGTCCTCCCACCGGACGTTGGGAACTTCGACAACGGCGACTTCACGAAGGGCTGATGGGTTGGATACGCCAAGAGCGAAACGGAAGTTCTCCATGGTCACGCCCAGTGAGTCCAGAACCTCGGCGTCAATGGTGTCCTCGTCGAGATCGATGAGGTCCATCTTCTCACGAATCTGCTGCATGGCAGCCTCAGAGCAAAGCGAAGCCAAATCGGAACCAACGTAACCGTGAGTCTCAGCAGCGATAGTTTGTAGGTCGACGTCGTCACCGAGCTTCATGTTCTTGGTGTGGATCTGCATGATCTCGAGACGGCCTGTAGGGTCGGGAATACCGATGTCGACTTCACGGTCGAAACGTCCGAAACGGCGGAGGGCGGGGTCGATGGAGTTGGGTCGGTTGGTGGCGGCCATAACAACGACGTTGGAACGAGCCTTCATGCCGTCCATGAGGGTGAGCAGTTGCGAAACGACACGGCGCTCGACTTCACCGTTGGTCTTCTCACGCTTGGGCGCGATGGAGTCGATTTCATCAATGAAGATGATCGCGGGGGAGTTCTTCTCGGCCTCCTCGAACGCCTTGCGCAGATTTGACTCTGACTCTCCGGCCATCTTGGACATGATCTCGGGACCGTTGATCAGGAAGAAGAAAGCACCGGTCTCGTTGGCGACGGCACGAGCCATCAGTGTCTTACCGGTACCGGGAGGACCGTACATCAGGATACCACGCGGAGGCTTGATACCGATGGACTTGAAGAGCTGAGGATGCCTCAGTGGCAACTCGACCAACTCTCGGATCTGCGCCATCTGCTTTCGGCAGCCACCAATGTCGTCGTAGCCAACCTCGTTGAGGTTACCCTCCTCGTCCTCGCGCTGGATGGGCTCGCCCTCGCAGTGGATGACCGTATCTTGTGCGACGATACCGAACTCTGGTGGGTCGACCTCAACAACCTTGAACTCCACTTGTCGCATACCGCCGCGGGCTGTGAATGTGTCGCCTTGACGAACCGGTCGGTAGGCTTCGCGGAAGTATGGGGCGAGGAAAACGTCGAACAGCGAACCAGTGATACCCTCGACGGTATCGGCGATGGGAAGAACTGCGATGCGCTTGGCCTGCAAGAGCATTAGCTTTGAATCAGCGTCTCGGAGATGTAGCTACGTACGTATTTGATGTCAGGGCACGGGTGGATGGTGATAACATCACCGTGCTTGACACGCAGGTTGTGGCGAACGACACGGTTTATCCGCGCAGAGCCATCGTCGAGATCGTCATCGGCGAGCACGATAAGAACAGTGTCCTTCCGCTTCTTGCCCTTGACGAGGACTGTGTCACCACGGAAGAGCTGGAGCGTCTCCATGGTGTTGTTTGAGAGGGCGATAATCGAGTTGTCATCGTTGACGGCGTCGGTGACACTGCGAAGTCAGTATGGCTTCTTTGTGTCGCTTTGTGGCGTACTTACATCAGCGAGTTTGGCTTCTTCTTCTTCTTGAGGATGGCGGTTGCGGTCTCATCGTTCTGTGGCGGATCAGTAAAGACGGTCTCAGATGAGTGTTTGGCAGTGCCTACATCCTTGGGCTCAGCGCCATCGGGGTTCCTGAAGTTCTGTTAGTCGCGGTTGCAGATATGCGGCTGGTGGCAATGCACGTACTTGGAAAGATCCACCTTCGGCTTGGAGTGGTCTGGTTCAGCGGACATCTTGCTGATGTGTCTCTATGGAATGCTGCGACTGTACTTTTCCGGTGCAAAGAGGGACGCCGGGATTTGCAGCGCGGTGGAATGGGTTGTGGGTGGGGTGGGGGGTAAGATGGAGGTGATGGGTCTTTGGTGT